TGTGAATCCTAGTCCAAGTGTAAGTCCTCAGCCAAGAACAAGACAACCGCGACGATCACAAACTATTGCTGAAGATACAAAAGATAGCGAAGATCAAAATGAAGATTGTCAAGATGATAAAAGACAGGTATTATATTGCAAAATCGATGATCGAAATTTAAAAAAAAACTAATATTTATATAAATTATTAAAAATAAATTGTAATAACAAAAAATTATTTTTCTATAGAAACCTACATTAGGTGACATGTTCTTAGATGAAAGACTTTCTCTGACTCTAGAAGAAATTGTACATATTCGGAGTGTATTAACTAAAGCAGAATTGGAATCTCTGCCTGTAGAAGGGCGTGTAAAGGAAGATGTAGAGAAGAGACGCGTTTGTTTTCTTTGTCTAAAAACTAGATTCGGATTATTAGGACCTTGGGGACAACGTTGTCGTTTGTGTGAAAGGACTGTATGTGTGAAATGTTATTCCAAAGTAAATTTTCAAGATTTTTATTAATACAATTTCATTTAATATATAATATTTAGATATTAGATTTCATTTAGATATTATTTGTATTATAGATGCGAATTCCAACAGAACACTTCGCCCATGTCCCAGTAGTATTACTATCTCCCGGTCTTCTTCTTTCTCCATCATCTTCAGAACCAGATACTAGCAAGAGTTCTTGGCTTAGAAGTAACGGAGCAGCTGGATCTGCACCGGCATCACCAGCCTCTAGACGCAAGGATTCATCACTAAAAAGTGTAACACCTTCATCCACGCCTACTACGACACCAGTTTTGATACTTACACCAACTTCCACGCCACCTTCTCATGCTCGTCGTGAAACAGAGATTCAAGATAAAAGGTTTACTTCATTTAATTATATTATAATTTTTGATTATTGTTATTATTCTTCAAAAACATTATTTATATGATATTAAAGATTGCCAGCCAATGTACCATCACCGAAGGCATTTTCCAGTTTCACAAGTCAAAACTCGGAACAACGATTGGCCGCGGAAAGATTGCGAGGTGTTTCTATGGTTGTCTGTCATGATTGCCGTATTATGGTGATACAAATAATTAAAAGTTCGAGAACAACACGAGCTACGATACGTAACAATGTTATTTCACGACTCACTTTAAACTTATCTCCAGCCTATGTTTGAATTCTCTTTAAAAAAAAAAAAAATGAAGTTCCGGTTAAAAAGGAATAAAATATGCAAAGAAAGTTAAATGTAAAATATATAATTTTAATGTAGCTGGAATTTAAAAAAAAAATCTATATGAAATCGGCATACAATGACATTTAATGTATTCTACGTACCAACATTCAGGCTTACATCTAAGTAGATCATTAATGCATGCAAATTTGAAAATGAGATATGATTAGAATCAAGTATTTAATTATGAGAGTTAAGATTCTGTTTAGTTCTTAACGACAATTAACTATTTTTCGCTTCCCATTTCAATAATTACTATTAATAATAAACTTCTATCAATAAAAATTATTATGCAATCATGCGATTGCATTGTCATATGCGCGTGTATTCTCAGTTCATAAAAACTGGGAATTCATATTTAACCCCGATTATCTCGGGATTTTAAAAATGTGTACATATATGTTCTTTTTGCTCCCATATTGTTGTGAACATTAAATCTAAAAATAATATCACATTTATTGTAAAATTTAGTTGAAAGAAAATAATTATCATAAGCAAAAATTAACAAAGAAACAATGAAAATGTTGAAACTCTAGATATAATCTACATATATGTGCCATAATATTGTTCCGCGCAATAGATCGAATTATGATCAATTCTTATCTATCAAACTATGCGATAGTTTAAAATTATATGATCATTAATTCGAATTATTAAAAAATTTATATTTTCCTTAATTTGTTAATATATTCATGTAACATGTAATTTTTGCGCGTAATTTTAGATTTCATATTTTATACATATATTAATAATGATTGTGTTTGAAATTCTTAATACTTTTGTTTGTAACTTTTGTTAATAATCTAATTAAGATGAGAGGTACGCATACATAAGCACACGCATATTATAAAATCATACGAACTATAAATTAGCGAGAGAATCAAATACTCTGACAACCCCAAATGAAAAGAATATTATTTTTTTGCGTCTGCGATGACATCATTTTATTTTAAGATAATATATTTAATTTAGAGCGAGTTGAAGTCGGATGCACAATTGTATTATAAGTATGTTTTAATGGAATTAATTCATTTAAATTTTTTTGTATAATGTTTGTGATATTAATTTATTATTTTTTATGTGTACTATTTATTATATTTATTTAATTCTGTGAATTAACTTACAGATGTGTTTCTTTGTAATTGTACATATAATTATACATATATTGTTATGGAATTTATATGAACATGTAGTACAATTTTCATATTTTGTTCTATGTTATTATTTGTTGAAATATTTTTTATTTATATTATTGTTAATACTAAATGAAATTATTTTTGTTTTTGTTTGCATTTTTAATTATATATAAATTAATTACTATGAAATAAACTAAGCGGAGAAGAAAATGAATTAAAAAAAAAAAAGAATAGTGGCTCTTGTGACGGTCATGTTTATAGGAAATTAGTACAATGAAGTGGCTGTTCACTCGCACAGTTTAAAAATGTGCTATTAACGAAAAAATGTACAAAAATAAACTGATGATGTTCAGAGTACAAACGAAAAATGCGAATTGCACTATGATTAATATGCTGATTGTAAGTCTGGCATCGAAGTGTATACATAAAACAGCGTGGTTATAAATTTATTAATATATATAAAAAAAATTGGTAATCTTTATAAAAGAGTACATCGGTTTGGTTAAGAAAGAAGTTTATTTATTTTTTTAGTCATATAAATAGATTTCTAAATAATTTTCAAGTAAAAATCAAAATGAAAATATTTCGTATAATATTTCTGAAATAGAATAAAAAATAGATTTTGTCGGACAATGTAATGAAAATACTATGTAAAAAAAACACGCAATGATACCTTACAAAAAATACAAAACATGAAATTCCATTTGTAGAAAATTATAATAAATCGAAACTGAAAAAATATTAAGAGTCACAATGGCATGATCATAAGATATATATATAAGAAGATTATGTGATGGCAATTGAAAAAAAATAATTTATTATGTTAATTTATTATTTTTATGTACGATGTACTACATATATATATATATATATATATATATATATATATATATACACACCCATAAATAGAAGTCTTGTTTTTATGATGAAAGTGACCAAAATACATTCTATTCTAATTCATTAAATATAATGTTGTCTTTTTAAACAAAATTTCTCTTATTCTCTAGTTTATCATTATAATAAGCTAGATTTTAATTACACAAATTACATTTTACTCTAATATTTTTTTATATATATACATATAATATTTTAAAAAATATATGATTTTTTTTATGTATATAATAGATATATTAATTATCAATTATTATATAATAGACTATTAAAATATATAATTATAAATTTTGAAATTTATCGTTAAATTTTATTTTTATATAAGCAAAAACAAATATAAATTAAAATCTATAATTAAGCTCAATTCAAATATTTTTAAATCATTATAAATGAAGATTTTATAAAAAATAAGTAAAAACTATTTTGTGTTAATTTCTGAAATGATTTTTGAATATTTAAATATCATTATTTAAAATTCTTTATATTTTTCTTAACATATTTTATATTATTGATATAGCATGCAAAATAATTTATATTCTATACATAGAATATAAATATAAATATAATAATAATAAAATATAATAAAATATAATAAAATATATAAAATATAATAAAATAATATACATTCTATGTTTTCATTTTATAAAATTTAAAATGTAAATAAATAAATTGAAAATATAACTAAAGTGTCTAAAAATGATGTAATAATGTAAATGAACAAAATCAGAATATTTAAAATGTTCAAATTAAAATAGTAATAAAATAAAATATGAAAAATTAGATAAATAAAAAATAAAAAGAATAAATGTTTTCTAAAACAATTATCTGTTATTATATTAAGATTTATTCTATTTTTATGATAAAATTTACTAAATTTTCTAATATGCTCTCTTATATAAAATATCTAATTACAATTTAATTGCTGCAACAATTTAATATGTTAAAGCATACATAAAATATATAAGGTAGGTACTATTTACAAGTAATATTAATCAATTACAAAGTTTAAAATGAATTTATTTTAAAAAATGATACTTTTTTTAAAAATGAAATACAATACCATATGGCTAAAATTCCAGAAAGAAACATCACAGCCATTGAGTCTAGTAGTTGCTAAAAATATAAAATCATGCAGTCATAAAATATTAAAACACTTGTTTAAAAGACAAAATTATGCAAATATATGAACAAAATATTCTATGCATGATAATAATATAAAAGAATACAAATTTTGAAGTTAAAGTTTATAAAGAAATAGCAAATCTTTCTATTTGTAGTATTATATAATACTACAAATTTATTTAATATTACATAATATGTGTGTATATATATATATACACATATAATATGTATATGTATATATATATTATATATAATATATAATTATTTGTAATCTTCACGTGATGAACGTAAAAAAAAAAAAATAATCTCATGGTTCAAAAGAAATACTCTTATCTGACTTAATACTACTTTTTTAATTTCAGCATTCTTAAATATAGAATACCTTTGTACATATATGTTAAGTAGCTATTGCTGTTTCCAACAGGTAATGCGTTATCGTATAAAGTACGAATTTAGCTTATATTGCATTATGATGAAATATGCTTTGCAGATACTTAGAGATAGTTCTGATAGTCGCAACTATATCGAAAGCAAAAATTATTTCATATTATTCAAGTATTGTTTTCCCACAATATTTACGATTGCCAAATCCGTACTTTAATCATTACGTACATTGCGCATATTAAACGAATTTTACACGTTAAACGAATATGATTTTATTTACATTTGAGCGACAAATACACAATGGTTGTTCTATCGAATCGCAATAATACTACATAGCCTTATCAATGATTTCAAAGAAAATATATCGACAAAAAATTTATCGGTATGTAGTAAACATAATTTGAGAATGATGATTGATATCATTTATAGCGAAATATGAATCATATTATCATATTTATGCAAAGACGCAATGCTTGTAATTGTAATCGATTGCAATTACATAAGAAAATAATACAATGGCTTTCAATTTTCAAACATCTATTTTGTGTAAAATAATCATCTTTCTTATAAAGATTCAAAAACATATAAAAACTTGAAATCTCAGAAATGCGAATTATGTACATAATATAAAACTGATTTATGCGTTTTTTTTTATATCCCGTTTTATGATATTTAATTTCATGTTAATATGAAGCAAATAACATAACCAATATATATCTTAAAAAATTGTTTTCAACAAAAAGATGAAGCTAAAATATGTATATTCTACATTCATCTAATTAGATTCCATCATTGCAATAGATTAATAATATTGATCACCAATAATCGTCCTTAAATAACATTCCTGTACAAGATGCTCTATTATAGTAACAGATTTATGATGAATGAGAATTTTTTTGCATTTAAAAAGCTACAAAAGAAATAATTACGAGAGAGCATATAAGAATAAGTTTTTGACTTTTTTTAAATCAACTAAACTTGAGATCAGCATGTACAGGAATATCTATATAATAAGAATAAACTTAAATTTTTGTTAATAAATAAATAGTACAGATGTATGTTGAAGAATGTGATGCTTACTGGAAGACGGTATTAGAGTTTGACTGTAATAATTTTGCTCTTAAAGAATTACAAGAATACAGTTGTAATTTTAATAAAACTTTAAAATTATAAATATTAATTAAAAAATTAATTCATAAAAAATTATTCATTAAAATTTTGTAAAAATTGCCCATTGAAATAAATAAAAAAAATTAAAATAAAAATAAAAATAAACATTTTGCACTCAAATAAACATAAATTAATACTAAAAATATAATTTCAAAAGAGTCAAAACACAAAACTCCAAAAATATTTGCAACTGTATCCATTAATTCCCTTTTCTACATGAACCACAACTTACAATAAAGTGCTGAACAACAAATTTAGTTGCCTTTATGAAGTCTTCCAGTTTTTTCAAATTCATGTAATAAATGATTTCTGATAAAGACTCCATTTAAAATAATTTTGTTCTCAATTTGATATTCAGCACTCCAGTAGTTCAGTTTTTTTTTTTAATTTACACAGAAACATCATTTAAACAATGATTAACGTATCAGACAGGTAGCACAAATACGTTGAGGCCCGATGCAATCATCGTGACAAAACGCGCCACACTGTCGGCATATTACCATAGCACCACGCATATTACATTCACATGGAGGTGGTGGATCTCCACCCATAATCATTCCAGGTGCTCCAGGTTCGGCGCCACCTCCTCCTCTACCATCAGAACCTCTTGCTTTTAACGTTACTGCCTGATGTGAACCCTCTCCTGCACTAGCAGGTCTACCACGTACTAAATGCACTCCGACACCCATTCCAGCAATTTGAGGAGGTAGAGGTGGTGCAGAAGATGCTCTAGGTGCACTATCTCCAACTCCTGTTCTCTGTACCAATATATATTGACCTAATCCACCTGTTGTTGTAGATCCTAATTGTGCTATGTTATTGCTTTCTGGAATCTAAAAGGAAGATTTAAACATGAAACAATTTTTCTGATTTTAAATTTTATTTTAAGAATAATATTATAGTTGATTAAAATAAACAAACATATGACATCTAAAACTATATTAATATCTTTTTCCTTATTCTTTCTGTTTTTAAAGAAAAATTTTTCTGTGAAATAAGTTATTAAGATATATCTTTCTTGATTTTTTTACTTTACGAAAATCATTATATTGTTTCCACTACTTTTAGAAACTCAAAACTAGAAAGTAGATTTATTTATTTAGGTACCTGTATGATACAGTGATCATCACAAGCCACCCGCAAGATTAGCACTGTACACACAGAAAAATATCAAATAATATATGATGCAAGCTTGAGTTTCTATTTTATATATGTATTTCAAAAATAATGAAAGTTGTAATACAACTGATAAAAAAGATTGATTCTATATAAAAAAAAAATAGAAAATTCCGTACAAAATTTTTTAGTTTAAAGTCTCATTTTCGAGAAAACCAATTTTAAACAATAAGATACATATACAATTTATATATTTTGAATTTATTTTTTTTTTATAAAAATAAATATCTCTATTTAATGAAAGCTGTTCAATTTTTTCATTTATTAAGAAGCACTATCACATTTTGATAAACCAATTATATATTTTTTCTATTATAATTATATATTTTTTTTCTATCTATATATAATTATATATTTATAATATAATTATATATTAATAATATATATTATATTATATATTAATAATATAATTATATATTTTTTTTCTATCTATATATAAAATTGAATCGATCGTTATTGTACAATACCTCCTCGCTCATTAAGATCACTAGATATTATTGACTTTCACTTATTAATAAAAAGAATAATACAACTGAAAGCAATTTTATAAGAATTTAAAAATTAAAAAACAAAAACATATTGAAAACTGTTAATTCTTCTTTAATTTGTAGAACATTGAAGCAACAGGAACGACCTTCCTAATAATATTTATAACATATTAAAAATACATAACAATCTGCAAAAACTTGTTATATCATTTGAGTCATGGTTCAATAAATGTTTATAAACATGAACAGAAACAATTCATTGGATTGAATTATGATAATCAAATCCTATTTAATTGTACATATATTTAACTAATCTTCAAATCGATTTTTTCAAAAACGAAATGTTGACGAAAAAATTATATACTTATTTTTCTATGAAAAATCATATTTTTTCTAATTATTAATTATACGATTTCTATTTTACTCTATTGATTGAAAATTTCAAACAAGCATTTATATTTCTCAATTACTATATATATATCTTAATCATTTTTATGTTACAAATATATGCAATATAAAAACCAATAAAACAAATATGAATTTTAATATTATATTTTCACTTTTATTTATTTTATTATATTTTACTTATATTTAATAAAATTTAATATTCTCTATTCAATATACTATTCAATATATAATACTTTTACAAAATGAAATAATGAATTAATAAATAATATATTTTCATTTTTATAATAAAATACAATTTTTATAATATAATAAAATACAAGTTACTACATATAATTTTTAGAAGAAATATTTCATACCTCTGTAGAAGTCGCTTGACGTGCTGTTGCAAACACATGTCTTAACATAACTGCTTGTGTTTTATTTTGAGTTTGTTTATTTTGTATTGTTTGTGATGGTTTCTGAGTTTTGACTGTTGTAATTGTACGGCCACCAGATTTATTCGTTGTGAATGCACCATCGCCTCTAGCAAGTAAGCTAGGTGGAGGTTTCAAATGAGCTTTTAGTTGATCTCTATTTGGTGAACTTTGTATAACCTATAATAATAAACATATATTTTTTAAAGAAACAAAAAAAATTAAATTTCGAATCTTTAAAACTTTTTTTAAAAAAAATTTAGTTTGTGTTAAATTACCGCTTGACATATTTGGTAACTACGTTCCAAATTAACAGCACCAGGTGGTTCTTTTGTAGTACTACGAGATCGACCTCCTCCTTGTTCTTTATTGTTATTCCTGGAACCTCTCTGATTACCTTGATTACTAGAACGTGAAGATCTTGAAGATACAGTAACTGTTCCTCCAGGATATTGTTGTTGTTGTATGGTCGCTACGACTTGCCGTGGTTGCGTAGGAGCCGATGCTTGGTGTTGAATTACAATAGTATTTTGTGTACGATTTTGTGGTTGTACACTAATTGCTGCCGTAACAGTATTCGGAACTTGATTTTGAATCACATTATTTCTAATATTTCGTGTATTATTATTTTGAGTATTTAATTGAACGACTTCTTCTTGCGTTCTCATTATATTCACTTGTGAAGTTGTATTCTGAATTTGAGCATTAATTGGGGATGTACTATTTAAAGATGAAGTAGTGTTTTGATCAGAATGAAAATTGGTTTGCACAAATCTAATAGATTGTAATTGTGGAAATGCAATAATAGGTGAGCTTTGAGATTGAAAATTTTTCATTATACAGCTTGTTCCTGGTGTACCAATTGCGAGACTTTCCGATTGAAACGGAGTTCCTTGAACAACTGGTAATTGAATACAGTTAACTGATTCTACATTAGAATCTGCATTGATAAATTGTTGAGGTGGATTAGTTGAATCTGTTGAAGTAGGTGTCTCGTTGCATTCATCCTGAGTAGTCACTGTAATATTAGCAGCAACAGATCCATCAAGAGCTGCAGCTACTAATGGCCATGGAACTTGAAGCTCTTCTTGAGGCTTTATGAAATAAAATTAATTTTTTTTAAATCAAAAATAAGATAAATAATCACTTATGATATATATATATATATATATTAAAAGAAATTAATGCTAAGAATACAAGAATATTAAAATTTTTTATCAATACACTTACCCTATTATTATTGTTAATATTATTAACTGTGGGATCTACCGACCAACTACATTCTAACATCTCAGAACACACATAATTATTTGCTTCTCGAAGAGCTTCGTCTTCATTTCCACTATTTACATCTTGTTGATCTCTGGTAGTTTCTGATTGTCCTGAGACAACCTGTGTTTCAGTTTCTTCAGTATTATTCGATCCCATTTCCATTCCGTCAAGAATAGGATACATTATTTCTTCGGGACATCCCGAAATTTCTTCATAAGCTTCACGCATTTCTCCTCTTACCTAAAAAGAGATATATTATATGTTTTTAATAGAACTTGATATATCTTTTAATATATCTTTATAAATAATAAAAATTATCACCTCCAATTCATGAATACGTTGTAATGTTTCACTATCGATCTCCATTCCTTCAGGAATTTGTGATTCACCATCCGTTGGATTCTCGTGAGAAACCTGTGTTACTTCAGTTTGATTATTGATTAATGTTGAATCATTCATAACGATTTCGGTTGATCTAACTCGTTCATGTGACGATGAAGTTTCAAGTATAGTTGTAGCTTCACAATCGGACATCGGATAAATTTGTTCTTCTGATATTTGGGATATTTGTTCTTTCGAAATTTGAGATACTTGATCTACGGAAGTTTGAGATGTACATTCTGTTGATAATTGAGATGATGTTTCTCTAGATGTTTGAGACATTTGTTCTATTTGTTCACTAGATCTTGGTGAATTTTCTTCAGGTAGAAGTATTGTATCTTCTTCAGATACTTCAAGAATGTGATTCTCTATTGACTGAAGATTTTTTTCATGTTGAGATAAGTGAATTTCTTCATCAAATGTATTTGAAATACTTTCTTGACAAACTTGTGTTACTACTTCACTTTCTTCAAGCATATCTTGTTTTTCTGAGAGATTTTTATCATCTTCTTCTAATTTGTCCTGATGCATTTCAGTATCAGTTATCGTTTCTACAGAATTTATGTTTACAGAGTCTATATGTTTTTCATCAATTAACGTATGCGTTGTTTCATTATATTCTGTTGGTAATAATTCTTGTATTTCTGTTGTTTCATTTAATTCTTCTGAATTATTTATACTAGTTTCAACTTTACAATTATCTTCTTCAACCTTATCTTCGGACATAATAGGACAGGGAGTATCTGATATAGGTGTATCTACATTAGATTCTAAGCGAAGTCTTAAACTCGAACGTGTTACAGCTCCTCCAGATCTTGATTCCGCAATACAATGAAGACCTGATCTAATTTTAGGTTCGCGTTTTTCACCCCATATAGGTTCGAAATGTTTTACTTTCCATGGATCTAATTTATTTTTATCTCTTTCTGCCTCCATTTTCAATCTTTGTTGATTTTCTGGAGTAAACTCTCCTTCTGCCAAGCGTTTACGCCATTCTAGGCATGCTCGTGCAAAGAATTCATTATTTAATCCAGATGTAGCAGCATCCTAACAGAAAAAATATATTTTTATAAAAAAATATTATTTTAATAAAAATGAAAAAAAAACAAGATAGATAGAATAATTTGCTATCAATATATTATTAATAAATATATATATTTTTAAAATTACCTGTCTATCTACAGCAGGTAAAAGTTGTGCAAGTTTCCTTTGATACAAAGGTGGTAAACCTTGAAAAGTATGCCTATTTAAAAGAGCACGTAAACTTGTGCTTGCTAAGATACTTGCTGGAGATTCAAGATCTACAAGACCAGCCTCCAATTGTGCAGTTGCTGATAATCGTTTTGTTGATCGTCTACGTCCAGATTTTAAGCTAAATCCTGGCAAACTTGCCAGGACTTCCCTCATTGTGGCAGCAGGTTCTTCAGTTGCTATATTTAAATAATATTATTTATAATATATATTATAATAATATATTATAATAATATATTTATAATAATATAATAATTATATAATAATAAATTATCAAGTTAATATACATATATTATATTAATATATAATAATAAAAAAATACATATATATTAAAATTTTATATCAATATAATTTTATCATATTATTCAGTTATATTTACATTTATATAATCATCAAATTTAAGTTATATTTCACTTACTAGTATTAATATGTTGTACATTATTAACTGGAGAAGGTGGATTATTCGGTGGAGGTGGAGGTAGTGGTTTAACAACAATTCTTGGAAGGGTACGAGAATTTCCAGCTGCAATCGTTGTATTTTTTCTACGTCTTTTGGCCTGCTGTCGTAATGCATGTTTAATAACTTTTTTGCTGTGCACCATGCTAGAATAGCCAGAGCAACCTGGACTAGTTTCACACCCTTCACCTTTGGCAAGTTCTACATCTGTGTCCATGACAATACCTATACTGCGAACATCATTGATCGAAATGCCGGCTAATCGAACATAAATCCACAATAGCACTGTATTCAATTAAATGCAAATTTTTTAAGTTTTATTTCATATTGCAGTAAAAAATTCAAAAAACGATAATCCTGATTTGAGAAATAAACATTCTTTAGTAACAGTACTTTCCTGACATTTCGATACAATCAAAGAAACTTTGATAATTTACATAATATTTTCTAATCCATTTCGTTTAAAAAATTGTATATGCACAAAATTTAAACGAATTTATGAATTTCACTATTTTTTAATCCATTGGCAAAATGCCATTCGGAAAAACTCGCAAAGTTCCGCTTCTATCGGCCATATTGTATTTACATATTTATACCAGAAAAGCGCCATCAAGACATAGAGTGCTTTTTAGTTTCATAGATATTATATATTATCTATATTAAATTCGATGCTATGGTTTTTATTATGGAATTTAAAATTAAAAATTTTAAAATTTTAAAAATATAAGTTAATTCAAAATAACAAAATCAAAATTCAAAAAATTCGAAATTATTTTATAATTTATATTTAATTTATATTTAATTCAAGTAATAAATAAAAATATAATATTATCAATAATAAAGATTAAAATAGATGTATAAAGATGAAAACAATAAAGATATTAATAAATTAGAAATATAACTTAAATGATAATTATGAATAAAATAAATAAAAAAAAATATGTATTTTGCAATACAAGAGCAGTAAGAAAATATTTCTAATCATGATAAAAAAGATTTGTATTTTTAATTGAATTATCTTATTAAAAATTTCATAGATTCTGTTAACAAATAGCTATTTTATAAAATAATCTTAGTTTCATTTTATTATTTATATGCAAAAAGTATTATATATGCATTTTATAAATAATAAATCATGTGCTATACTTCTTTAAAATTATGAAAATCTTTTATGAAAATTTTGCCGCCCATTTTGATTTCACTGTTTTAAAAATTATAAAAACTAATAATGAATATTTAACGTCTAAAAAAATTTTCAACAAAAATGTCTCATTCCTTTTATAATCTAAGATATATTACACATTATTTAAAAAATAAATTAGTTAGAAAATATATTAAATTTTTGTGCAAAATCAACCTAAGGATTTTTTTCTTATAATGGCCATTCTACATTTCCCGCCAACATGGCAAACATGGCGGAGCTCATATCGTTTCCCGCCAAGCCCTCACGGAGCTCTCGTATGGCGCAACTTGGTTGTGTAGGAGTATAAATTAATCGTGTTTTTTTGTGGTTTTTCTGGAGTTTTTCGATAAAAATGGGACAGTCAGATGATGTAGAAGATTCTACTTATAGTAGACATCAAGATTTGTGTCAGAAATTAAATATGGATGCAACTGCTGCATCTGAAGCTTGGAAATCTTATGAGACTATTCGACAAAATTATACTCTTGAGGTATTTTTTGAATTACTTATTATTGAGAATTATTTCATATCGTATTAATTGTTTAAGTTTAAGCATTTTAATTTCTCTATCTTTTATCCATGAATCATATATATATTGCTTTTACAATTTATTTATGATATACAAATTGTTTAATAATTAATATTGCTGAATTCGCACTTTGTTTTACTCAGATGATTAAAGCGCACCAATTTAAAACAATAAGATAAAATTTTAATTAAGTGTGTTGATTTAAGAATATAAGAAATATTTTTATCTAAACAATAATTAAATTATAAAAAAATTAGATCTATGACTATCACAATTTAATCTTATATTATTTATAAATTGATTAATGATTTATAAATTAAATGATTTATAAATTTTATATATTTCATTTATTTATATTTTTTTATAATTTATTTGTTTAATGTTATTCATGAAAATATAAGATTTATATACATTTTTTACATTTTTACATTTTACATTTTTTCTATATATAATTATTCATATATAAAGATTATTTGTTTTTTTAGGGTGATCAATTACATTGGATAGGGTGTGCATTATATGTAGCTTGTCGTAAGTCTTCTATACCTACTGTTGGAAAAACTGGTACTAATGTGGAAGGCAATTGTGTTTCATTGACACGTTTATTACAATTGTGTAATCTTCCTTTAATACAATTTTTTACAAAAAGTAAGTCTTGGGCTGATATGGCTAATATGCCACAAGATTTTCGTTCAAAGATTGAAAAACTAGAAGGAAACTTTGCTGTTTCTATGGTTATATTCAAAAAGTATCAACCAATTTTCACTGATATATTTAAAGATCCTGTAGATGATATTTCAAGACCACCAAGATCTAGAAGGCACAAAGCAATGCCTTGCACACCTGCAAGAGTATTTGAATTTTGTTGGACTTTATTTATTTGTATAAAAGGAGCATTTCCAGATATTTCTGATGATTTGGTTAATTCTTATCATCTTCTTTTAGTATGTTGTGATCTTATATATAGCAATGCTTTATTGGCTAATAGAAAGGATCTTTTAAATCCTAATTTTCCTGGTAAATATGTGCTGACTACATAATATCAAATAAAAAAAAATTGTTTTCATTTATATACTTTTTGACAGGTTTACCATCAAATTTCAATGATGAGAATTATACTCCACCACAGACAGCAAATTGTATAGTTAGTTTATTATGTGAACGTCATGAGGCTATTGCAGTTGAAGCTAAAGTAATTAAGGAATATTATTTGAAGAATCATATTAATAAATTGTTCAATGAAAGAGTTTTACGTGGTGATCAGTCAAACTTTTCTGGTATTTTAGAAGCTCTCAATTTTGATGGCAATAGCAAAGCTATCAATAGAGTTTATGAACAACATGTATTAAGTGTTGGAGACTTTGATGAAAGGATTTTCTTAGGTAATTGTTTTTTTTTTTTTCTTTCTTTATTAGTATTTTTATAAAACTAGCTTTCAAACTTGCTTAATAAAAAGCTTGTATATAAAATGAAATAATGCTGTATGCCTGTATGCTTATTTTTATCTATTTTTGCTTTAATAAATCAAAGTGCTTGTAAATCAAATTTGAGAGTATAACTTTATAGAATTTAAATTTTTTCTTTTAATGTATAAGAAACTTTACATTTGTAATGTATATATTAAATTAAAATGAAATCCTATTATATTTAAATAAATAATTAGAAAATATTGCTATTTAAAAAAAGATAGTAAATTTTCATGTTTGTATATAATTAGTTAAAAATAATAAAACTTTCAAAGTTATTTTATATAATGTTCCATAATTGATAGTATAATCAGACAGAGGATGATTGTACGTAAAAAAATAAATTGAAAATGCAGAATAAAATTTTTTTATTTGAGGCTTCATTCAAATCAAGTTTAAAAATTTTTCAAATATAAGTGAAATTGGCTAACTCCTGGTGGGATATTATTGATAGATAGTTCCTTTATATGCGAAAATAAATAAAAAATGTAAAATAAAATTTTATTGCATAAAATTTTGACAAAATCGAGATTGAATATGTACAGCTAAATCGATATAATCGTAATCGAGGATCATATAATTAATATTAATTACAAATTTTTAAATTCAATTTTCGTGAATAATTTTTAAATGAAAAAATTTATTTTATATTTTTTTCTTATCTTTATATATTAAATTATCTTCTATCGATAATTTAATCGTATTTAATCGGGAAATAGCCAATTTCACTTCTATTCAATTGTACCATCAGTTACAGGACACCCAGTAGATTTGCTTATGTTTTTTTGATTTGCATTTTTTAATAAAGGACAAAATATCTGGTAATCTTTATTTTGTCTTTTTGAATAATTTTCATTTCTTGCTGTTAACTATTTGTGTCTGCTTTGTCTTAATTGTGGTATAGCTGATTGGAGGAGAGTGAGATTAAATGGAATATCAAGTTTGGAAATAGTTGGAGGAGATCTAGCTTGTCATGCTAGATTATCTAAACATATTTTTATAAGAGGTAGGTTTATAATATGTAGAAAGCTGCTATAAAAAAATAATAATAAGGTTAATGGTTAATAGCATTATGCTTTAACATGAATAATATTTATATTAAAATTTTACTTTTTTTTATGATAATTTCATATAATTCTATATAATAATGCATATTTAATTGACACGAAATGATTTCCATTAATTTTTGAAGTTATTTTTAAGCTCATGTTATGATCAAGCATTTATGTTAATATTTTTTCTTATTTTATTCCTTAATGTTTGTCATTTTATCCTAAATACCTATCTCCAGAATAATTGATGGATTTTTTAAATCTGTATTGTGCATATTTGTAATCTTTTTCAAAAATATTTGAAGAATAGAATACAATAAATTTTTACAGATATTGTTTGCAATCTTTTTTTTTTTTTTTTTTTTTTTACAGGCCATGATGCTAGTAATAATATTGGATCTCCTACACAGATGATGAATATTGGTGATCTTCATGAACAATTTCAAATGAAAAAAGAACAAAATAGTGGAGTGAGTATTAAAATAATTATACATATATGTAATTTCTAAAAATAATTTTAAAAATATTTATATTAAAAAAAAATGTATAATGTTTACAGCAGATACAACATTTAGCTCCAACTACTCCATTAACTGGACGTAGTTATCTTAGACAAAAAGATATTACTAATGTGACACCAGTATCTACAGCAACACAAAGTGTAATTAGACTCCAAGCTATGTTGGCAGGTCAAACTTCACCAAGTGAAAATTTGTTACAAATTTTAAATAATTGTTCTCAAGATGTAAAAACTCTCGTTGAAACAAAAGTTAAAGAACTTGGTGAACAATTTTGTGCTAATTACAACAGAAGTACAAATGCAAATGAGACTACTTCAGATTTTGGAAGAAAAAGACTTTATTTAGGTCAAACTCTTTTTTATCGTCTCTTAGAAATGATTTTAAATGATGAAAAACGCAAGAAACCAAATTACGATGTAACGGTAGGTTTGATAATTAATTATTTAAAAATTAAATAAAAAAAAATTAGTTGAATAATACTTATTTTGATTATGTTATAGAATCTTCTTACAAAAGAAATTTTTATTCAGTGCTTATTTGCCTGTTGTCTAGAAATAGTCATTTATTCATACAAAAGTAATGACAAAATTTTTCCTTGGATTCTAAATGCTCTGAATTTAGATGCTTATTATTTCTATAAAGTAATAGAAATTATAGTTAGAGCAGAAGATCAATTATCTCGTGATGTTGTAAAGCATTTGAATCAAATAGAGGAAAAGATTTTAGAATCACTTGCATGGCAAAGTGACAGTCCTTTATGGAATGCTATACAATCTACACCAGAAGGTGTTCCAAGTTGTGAAG